CGTCGGAGCCTTCGTTGGTTACTCCTCTGAGATCATTCAGATCTACTGATAATACGTCTAATGGTGATGTGGAACCTGAGGGTTCAACTGTGAAAAGGAAGATCCCTAAAAGGCCTAAGAAGATTGAGAATGTGAATTTCGACAGTGGGATTAGTGTGGCTGATAGAGAGAATGGCAATAGAGGGTTGGTGGTGAGTGTTCTGATCCGGTTTGATGCGCTAAGAAGAAGGTTTGCGCAGCTGGAGGATGCAAAGGAAGCAGTAAGCGGGGTTATCAAACGCGCTGATTTGAAATCAGGATCTACTTGTATGAGCAGTGGGGTCCGGACAAACACCAAGAAGAGACCCGGTATTGTTCCTGGTGTTGAGATTGGGGACATATTCTTCTTCAGGTTTGAGATGTGTTTGGTGGGGTTACATTCTCCATCAATGGCTGGCATTGACTATCTGGTTGTCAAGGGAGAAGCTGAAGAAGAACCTATCGCCACGAGCATTGTGTCATCTGGATATTATGATAATGACGAAGGTAATGCCGATGTTTTGATTTATACTGGTCAGGGTGGTGGTAATGCTGATAAAGAGAAGCAAACATCTGACCAAAAGCTCGAAAGGGGTAATCTTGCGTTGGAGAAGAGCTTGCGTAGGAATAGTGCGGTTAGGGTAATAAGGGGATTGAAAGAGGCTTCTCAGAGTGCTAAGATCTATATTTATGATGGACTGTATGAGATCAAAGAGTCATGGGTAGAGAAAGGAAAATCTGGTCACAACACTTTCAAGTATAAACTAGTGAGAGCTCCTGGTCAACCTCCTGCATTTGCTACATGGACTGCAATCCAGAAGTGGAGGACGGGTTTGCCTTCAAGGGAAGGACTTATTCTTCCTGATCTCACTTCTGGGGTTGAAAGCATTGCTGTTTCACTTTTGAATGATGTTGATGCAGAGAATGGGCCTGCTTATTTCACATACTCCACAACGGTGAACTACTCAGAGTCGTTTAAGCTGGCGCAGCCTTCTTTTGGATGTGATTGTGCCAACACATGCAAACCAGGGAACTTGAACTGTCACTGTATAAGGAAAAATGGAGGTGATTTCCCCTACACCGGTAATGGAGTTCTAGTTAGCCGCAAGCCTATGATTTATGAATGCAGCCCATCTTGCCCATGTGCTCCTTGCAAAAACAGGGTTGCTCAAATGGGACTAAAAGTGAAGCTGGAAGTTTTCAAGACTGCAAATAGAGGATGGGGCTTGCGCTCATGGGATCCTATTCGTGCTGGTTCGTTTATATGTATATATGCTGGTGAGGCCAAAGACAAATCGAAGGTACAGCAAACTATGGCTGATGATGATTATACTTTTGATACGACCCGTATCTACACCCCTTTCAAATGGAACTATGAGCTTGGCTTAGCTGATGAAGATGCTTCTGAGGAGACATCTGAAGAGCCTGATCTCCCGCTGCCTCTTATAATCAGTGCTAAGAACGTTGGGAACGTTGCCCGATTCATGAATCACAGTTGCTCCCCTAATGTTTTCTGGCAGCCGGTGACTTATGAAAACAACAGCCAACTCTTCTTGCATGTCGCCTTCTTTGCTATTTCTCACATCCCTCCCATGACTGAGTTAACATATGACTATGGAGTTTCTCAACCAAGCGGAACTCAAAATGGCAATCCTGTATATGGGTTAAAGAAGTGCTTTTGCGGATCAGAGTATTGCCGTGGCTCATTTGGTTGATGATGGCGAGAAAAACAGCCTCTGGTGAACAACTGGTGTCAGAGTATTTTGGTTGCAAAAGGTTTGTATCTTTGTCCCATTAGTGATTTATCTACTGAATCTGATTTAACATAAGGAACCTCTAACATCGTTTATCTGGCAGCTGGAGTGTTGTGTCCTGACTCTTTTTCATCGGTATCAACTGCAGAAGACGCAAGCAAGCCTGTGAAGGATTTTTTTGCTGCTTCTCCATCAAAATGTTATGTATTTCGGATTGTGGACAATGTGTCCTCATGTTTTTCTCCTGTTGGATTAGTTGTTCATATCGTTTTCAGGACAAATCTTTTGGAAACTCGTTGCCTGTTTTGATTATATGAATATGTGATAAAAATGGCACAAGTCAGTTGAACAGTTAATCGGTTTTTTCGGGAAAGAGACAAAAACACAAAACCGCGATCAAAATTAGTACTTGAATATGGAATTGATTAACCAGGGATTAAGAATCAAATGTCGATGTTCTTCTCTTTACAAAGGAAAACTGATGCGTATGTTACAACAGAATGAAAAATACAGCCGAGATCATGTAATCTTCTTACACTACAACCCAACAAACTCTACTATTGAAACAAGTAAGCAAAGGGGAAAAATGGA